ACTATTCAACTAAGCGATTGTCATGAATGAAACTTTTCCATAGCTACAAGTACATGGATAAGTTTCATGTATTTCTGTACACACATTATTCTCAATATTCATAGGCTATTTGCTTTATTTCCTTCTTAGGTTTTATATTTTTATGACTGAGCACTTGTTGTGTAGGTAGCTTGCAAAATTAGTCAGTCACAGGATTCAATCCACAACTACATATATCGTATTGATTTAACTATTTCTGCCATGAGGACTAGATTGTTGTCCTTTTCATGCTGAGGTGAAATATTAATTTAATTATAATTAAGACGTATAATGGGTAGAGCGTTTGATTTCGTATACAAGAATACAAAAGAGCTTCACCACCACACAAGACAATGTGATGTTTTATGCTTTCACGTGTGTATATTGTATGTGTAAAATAATATGTATACATACTGAGATTTGGCACTCAGAGTGACGTGAGATAGATAGATTACTTCATTGAGAAAGAGATGAATGAGCTAACCATAATGAAAGGATCTCTAAATCAAATACAGTGGTTGATGCTATCAATGAAATGCCCAAAAAGCTTAGGCATTATCAAACAGAAAGGCAATGTTGCCTAATTGTGATTTTTGCAAGCTAAGCTATAATCAATTTATTATTATAACTAGATTAAGATGCCACATCCTTTTCTGTCCCTCTCCATCTACGCCACTCATTGCAGCCATTGAACGCATCTTATTTCTTAATATCAACATTCTTCTTTGTTTTCTCCAACCTTTGGTTCTCCTCTAGATTTCTTCTTCATGCATCTACTTGTTTGTCCCTCTGTATCTTCTACTGGCTTTCATTATTTTTTGTCAATAATATCTTCATTGAAATAATAAATAAATAATATAAAAAATATATATATATATCTTCCAAATATTTGATAATTTCCTTTCCTTTTCCCTTGCCCTCGAATGTGCTTGCTTCTTGTTTGATCTGAAAGCATCTTTGTGTTATATAAATATTTAAGATGGTGACTATTTCCTAGGCTGAGGGTGTAGTTCTTTTGTTATTTAATTAAGGGGAGAGATTAAAATGATTCTTTGATGTTGTCACGGGTTCACAGTAATTCTACCTGGGGTGTCTTTATAGAGTAATTTAATTAAAAACCAAGGTGGAACAAGGTTGTGCGCAGGAGCTAAGCAACTAGAGTAATATATTTAAGATTGTAAAACTTCTAAGGTAATGGTTTGACAAAACAAATTATTAATCTGAGTAATTGCAAATTGCATATCATTCCAAATCTTGACCAGTACTGAAGCAACCCTTTCCTTTATAGTCTAATTTTACTCATAAATTCCCTTTCATTTATGTGAAAAATGTGTGCTGTATTGCGAGAATGTGGTATTACAACCGATAATTACTTTAGCATCTCCCAATGCCTAGAGAAGAGACATCTCTATCCAAAATAGTTTCGGGAGATCCTATAAGCAAAAGAACTTACAACAAACTTAGGACTAGGGGTTGGTTGAATTCTTATTTTTGCTGTTAACTAATAATTAGTTAGAACAACATGATTATCCACAGCAACTAGCTACTTCAACAGAGACACTGATTGTTTAGCCCTGAATTATAAATAGTTTATGATGAATCCTCACATCAGTTAACATTCATTGATTTATTGATTGTATTCAGCAATTGAAAGCAGAAGATATGGTTATAGTTATGGTTATGGAATTTGATTAACGAATCCATGGGAAATGTATCACGGAATGATGAGAAAGGCAGAATTGTTTGAAGGCATGTAACTTACGTTACACTCAATGGAATAATTGGATAAAAAGTAAACACACACTCATAGATGTCCGTTTATAGGGTATTAATTAACTTTGCTTAGGAAGTGATTATGGGGTTAAGGAAATAATTCTTCCCCTGTCCCATAGCTTTCCAACTTTGCTTCTCCTTTCCACCTCAACCCCACCAAGGAAAGTGTGTGATTATTTTATCAAATGTGATGAACTCAAAGTTGGTGTCCGTATTGGCGGCTGTTTTGCATGCTCCAAAATGTGGTGATTTTTATATTAAGCTGGGGTTAATAACCCTTGAAGCCAAAGATTCAAGATTCCTCATATTTCAATTTTTGAGCTAATTCTTTGAGTACTCAAAGTTCTATGCAATTTCCTATTTTATGGATGCATTTCGGTTTTCATGCTTATTTTGGAGGATGATTACATTTGACAACACAATCCAAAGAAAAAGAGGAGTTTTAACATTTTGCACCACCCTAATAGACAATTAAATACTCTAAGAGTCTAAGTTACCGTAAAATCAAGATTTTTATGATATACTCTCTTATTGATTAAAAAAATAAAAACACTTTGTAGGATTCTTCCGTGTCTGCAGCAGGATTTTCTCTCCAGCAAAAAATATGACTGTTTGTCACGTATTCTTCCTTTCTTAATTACTATGTAATAACTGATTGTTAAGATTTTAAATTATAGCCGTGGTCACAGTTTTGTCATATGACTTGTTTGTCATATTCCTTGATATTGCGAAAATTGAAAACAAATATAGTTGATGCGGCTACATATGTGATTAGGCAGACTTCAGAAATTGACGCTGTGATCAAAATTATAGTTGTAAACTGCTTTTTCTTTTAATTTTGATTATGTTAATCACCGCTTAAATAATCAACCAATGCTAGTAGCCTTACCTCCCTCTTCTATTCCTATCTTAATTCTTAAAGCAGTCTTGTGCAGAAATTTACTGGGATATAATTACCAACACAGCATAAACATCAGTAAAAAGTTCCATTATCATAACCTGTAAAATAGTACAATTTTTGTTAGGAGAATGAGATCCCGAAAATGACAGCTTACTTGTATAACGAAATATTCTTTTCAAAGGTCGTATGCACTACGATTTAAGAGGTCACCTCTTGTACGATCACTTCTTGCTTATAATGATATAACAAAGCCATGCATATTTTAGCATTCCTTCTATTTTGATTTGTTTTGTTCAACAGAGAATGAACGCATTTAGAAGAACTCCGGAAATATGAATTTAATTCCTCTACCTTATGTAATAGAAATTGTGGTTATCACTCTAATTGCATACGCAAGGGAATGAGTAGGATTCATTATGGGGTCATTTTTGGGTGATACAGTAAGTTAGTTAGGACGGGACCCTTGGCACTGTTTTAGAACTAACTTTTTTATGCTCCCAAATTAGGTGATTCGCAGAGTGCTGCTGATCAAAATAAACAAAGCAATTTAAAATTATAAATAAATAAATAAAAAGTTTTGTTCATTTTATGTGTTTGTTATCATGAGGAGTTATGGACCACAGAAATCCTTTAAAGATTTAACCACTTCACTGCTCGTTATCTTTTTTGCAACATCTTACCAATAAGAAAGTACCGCTCATAACACTTTTTGTTTTGGATCATTATACTCTAACAGATCCTAATCCTTTGCAATTTTTTAAAGTTGCAGTTTCCCATCCAAATCGGAAGTTGATAACATACCCTTATTAAAATTTAACAATGCAACATAACATAATTTCCATTCTTCTGATTTCAACTTATCACCCAAATGAAGTTTCATTAAAGCCGAGCAACTATTCTATTAATTTTAGAGTACACTGCAGTAATGCTTGGTAACATCAAGAGAAGACCTATTCATGATCTTCGCTGGATGCACAGTAAATTTATGATGGTGACGGATAAGATCGAAAAGCAGATATAATAAAATATTGGAGAATGGCAGGTGAGGGATTCATGCATGGAAAGAATCATCAGAGAATAAAAGTAAGATGCTAAGGTGACTTGAATGTGAAGGAAATTGGAGCTCCGCATTTAGTAGTTGGTACAGCTTATAAAGCAGGTAACATAAGCATTTGTGTGCTTTTATTCTGTGCGTCGGATCCTCCAGAGAAAACACGTATATAAAAACACTGTCCGAAGATACCAATGTTTTATATCCCTCCATTTGTAACATGCATTATTTACTTGTTATAAGCTTAGTAAATGCAAATTTTATTCAGCTGAAACTAACTAATAAATACAACTTTCCATTTTAAAAGTCTCACCCCTTCCACTTTTTTACAATATAGAGATTACCGGAACTATATTCCAAAATAATGTGAATTAGAGTTGTGTTAAAACTAGTTCAATATTTTTAATCAGCAACTTGACTCAACAAAGATATGCACAAGAACCTCGTATAATACAGAAGCAGAAAATATTTGACAGCTAAACTACTACCAAAATAATGTAATTTATTTTATTTACCTATTGAAAGATGTCAAAGAATATCTACTAAATATAGTTAATTCTCTGTCCTTTAATTTTTTCTTCGAAATATATCTTTAGAAAATACGTCGACAGCAAATTAAGAAACTGTCAAAATCAAGTAACAGCCATCGAACAATATCTCTCAACCATACATTTCTCTGCCTAGCATTTCGGAATGCATCACTTGACAATTACAAGACACTGCATATCACTGATTACTCTCACCTGAATGAAAATGAACGTAAAAGACGATCAACAAATTCTTCATAAACTACATACTGTAGTTTTGAGTTTTGCGATACTAAAAATCAACTCTAACTTTATTTACGGCTCTTAACTTCAAATGGCAATCTCACAAGAACAAGATCAAAATAGCTTCCGCCAACAGTTTAAATTTGTTTTCAGCAGTGGTAAGCAACAATGCAACTAAATGGTAATTCTAATTCTAATGACACAGCAACCACAAGAGACAAAGGGTTGCGAATGCAAGGTAGTATAGGCATGCAACTGTATGATACGGAACCAGATTCCCTGCAGTCAAGGGAATCCCACATTCACACTGAGATATTTTACCACCATTGGATCCACCACTATCATATTCACAACCCTTAATTTTGCTTTCTCCAAAACAATAGAGAAAAAAATGCAGGGAGAAAAATAAAGAGATGAGTGACTGCAGGGAATATTCACCCATATGATGCGAATGCATATAGCTGCAGAATAATTAAAGGATCAGGGATGGAGGACCTAGTAGTCCAAAACCATTTATATAAAAGTATATTTCATTCAACAAATAATGTCTGATAATTAATTAGATGCAAAAAAACAAGTCTCAAGTTTCTTCAAACATAACTTCCTTAAAACATCCTAGTGCCAGAACATAAAATTGGTTGAGTGGAGACATCAGCTCTTTTAGCGATACTGCAACAACAACAACAGCAGCAAAAAAATGTAATCAGAACTCATGGCATGACAATAGGTGAATCACAGCAAATTAACCTACCACCAAAGCATAAATTCACATTAAACTAATGTAAGATTAGTACTGGGAACGTCACCCTAAATGTATACCTTAATGAAGCCAATTTCCTTGGCATTGCTGCGGAAGCACTGCCTGCAGCACATAAGGCCATACTTCCTAATCAATCCATGTGGATTCCCGCACACGCGGCTGCAACATAGGGAGAACAGGAAACAACAATTAAGCAAAGCTCATCAAAACAATTGAACTACAAAAAAGCATATATAACAAACCCAACCAAATTCTCCCGACAACTCTGAACAAGCCTAAAATATAATAGCCTAAAAATCGTATTTACATTCAGTACCGATACAACAACAGCATCCAAAGCCCTTTCCACTGGGTGGAGCAGGATACATGGATCAAACCAATACATACTTCCATTCAAAATATCAGTACCAACTAAAACTACATCAAATTGGAAAGACCTCATACAAACAATTTGATAACACCTACCCATAAGATACAAAACTATCCTTGAAACTATATGGCGCTACAAAACATGTGATGTGAACATAACGACGGCAAATAAGTAATCTAATTTAAATTAGAACAAATGCGACAAAACCCTCAAAAACATATGATGATGCATAACATGACTCGTAAACACACCCAGCATGATTACACAATCCAAACCAAGGTAAATAAAATACAAAATGAAAACGGTAAGGGCATCGACACAGGGAAATTATATTTGGGATCAAAATAAAACAGAGATTAAAAATCAAGAGACTTTGAAATTGAGAGTGAAAGAGTGACATACCAAGCGCGAGAACCGGGACCGTAGTTTTTGGGGTGAGAGTTCCAAACGTTGGAGTGTCCCATTGCTATGCCGCAGAAGAGGCTCCGATCCAAACACGCAGTCGCTGAAAAATGTGGAAGACTCTCTTTGTTATCTGCAGATATCAATTTATAACAAAACCTCACATTAGGGTTTTCTCGAAGTCAAACATCATTTGGGCTAAATCTTAGCCCAACACTCCTCTTGTTGTCTTTTGGTGGGCTTATAACTCACTGAACTGGGCCTTTGAAAATTCACACACTATCTTTCTCTTACTTTGGGAAAGATTTCGCTCCTGTCAAAATATTATTTTGGTTTCGAGTTCTTTTAATTCAATTAAGATTTTCTTTAAAATATTACTAACCCTTACCAAGTGGGACAATTTCAAATAATTCATATGAAAAAAATATTAAACTAACATAATATTAAAAATTTTATAATTACATATAATAAAGATATAATTTAATAGAAATTAAAAAATGATTTTACAACTAAGTGTGAAACAAGGAAAAGGTGAGAGAATATCGAATGCAGGGGTGAGTACGAATCCAAAATCCGACCCAAAATAAATAAATAAATAAATATATATATATATATATATATATATATTGAAAGAAAAATAAGGTAGATGGGTATATTTGAACGGGTTATCAATTTAGGGAGTTAAAATATAATTTAAAATGATTAATTTCAGTTAAGTTCAATTTAAGTTTTTGGACTATTGATGTCCGAATTCAACCATTCAAACAAAATAAAAACCAAAATAATTATTATTTAGGCCTAAAAATTAAGCTTATTTTGGCCCATATTTAATCTTTATTGTTAATGTACAAAAAAAATTAATTGAGTGTATAGTTTGTAACTTCCTTTTTTATATCATGTACCCAAAAAAAATTTTAATATTTAAATTATTTGAAACTTGAACAATTTTATTCATTTTGACTCTAAACAAACTAAATAATATTTGAATGGTTAAATATATATATATATAATAATAAAATAAAAATAAAAATAAAAAAGATACACTACTTGAAAAGAAAAAGATAATAAATTAGACAAAAGTTTTATTTGAACCAACTAAATTATTAAAAACCTAAAACATCACTATTCATAGAAAGTTGTTCGATAAAATTGAGACCCACTCAAACCAAAACCCACTTAAACGATAAGTCATTTGGTCGGGTTTAGGTCTAAATAATGCAAGGTGTGAGTTATACTAGTTTGGGCTATATCGTTCAAAAAAACGATCATATCCTGCCGTTGATCACCCCTATCCGAATATAATAAATGATGGATCGGTGAAAGATGGACACAATAAATAATAGTATTATATAAATCATTGCATGTGTATATCTACTCTTAAAAAATCTACCCAGAAAAAATTATAAATCAAAGATTTTGAAGGCGTTGATTATGGTGAACAGTTTTATTATATTGTCCACTAGTAGATAAGTGAATGGTAGTTTATTTATTTATTTATTTATTTAAATTATTTAAAATTACTAAAAAAACAATTTTTTATTAGAAGTTATTTGGACTTAATCCAATGGCCATCGTTTGCTTTTCACCCCAACGACGATGCACTTGCCACAGACACACTCATCAAGGATGGTCATTTGTCAATCGTTGTCAATGTTGTGGAACCTGACGCAAGCAAGGTGAATTTAAGAAAGTGGGTTAAGGCCTTTGAGGGCTTGATCCAGTTGGGTTTTGATGAGGGAGGCGTAGTTGAAGAGAGGGTGTGTGGCGATGTCGGAGGTGGAGCGAGGAGGTTAGTCTTTCGTGAGTACGTGATGATGAAAGAATGCGTGATGTGGCGATTGAAAGACAAATCAAGCTTGATAATAGAGATGTGTCCAACGCAGACGTGGTAAAGGGGATGTTGGATCAAGCGCTTACCACTAGGCCAAAAGCTATAGCTTATAGTCAGGGCGCAACTCTTTTTACTTAAGAGCGCAGCAGCCCAAGCGCCATGATTCGACAGTGACTTGGCCCACCTAGCCTCCGCCACGGGACAATTGATGCAACCCGCAACAATCTCCCCCTCAGCAATTGCCCCGCTGGGTATCGAACTCATGACCTTGGCTCTGATACCAATTGTTAGATCGAGTGCTTACCACTACCAAAGCTATAGCTTATAGTCAGGGCGCAACTTTTTTTACTTAAGAGCGCAGCAGTCCAAGCGCCATGATTCGACAGTGACTTGGCCCACCTAGCCTCCGCCACGGGACAATTGATGCAACCCGCAACAGGGGACAAGGGTGACACAAAAGGTGAAGAAAGAGAAGGCGAAGTTGTTGGAGGTGAGGCTGAGGGAATGCAGGCAATGGAGTGGGGGTTCATGCGACTACGATTGTAGTTGTAGTAGGGCGAGGGAGGTCGGCAACTACATTGGTCTCCTCCTTGAAGGAAATCGATTCAAAAAACTTGTCTTCATAGGTCTTCTCTACTTCTTCAATGCTTGTTGATTTCTCTTTAGGTTCAGGTTTAGGTTCAGCTTCGATGGTAGTTATTGGCCTTTTTACGAACTACACTTCTTCCATTGGAGCTAGTTGTTGGGATTCATCAAGCATGGATGGATTGGAAAGGAAATGATCATGTACAAAGAGAAACACAAACGAGATGTTGGTGACGACAATGAAAGTGTCCATTCAGTCATTAAAATCAAAGTCGTAGAAGCGAAAGGGGGCAATGGTGATGGAGAAGTGGAAGGGAGAGTCGGGGTAATTAAGTAGGGTTCAAAATTTTTTTTTTAGTTGGACAAATTGGTCATTTACCATTAGAAAATTAAATTAAAACATTAATGAATTTTTTACCATCAAATAAATTTGAACTATTTATTTTAATTATTTATATATATATAACGATATTTTTTACTTCTTAACTGATAAATCACATAAAAATTACACTTTGTTTTGTTGGTCCACCCATAAACAACAAAAACCATAGGTTCATGGTAGATTTTGCCAAAAAATATAAGGATTTAAAAGTTTGATTTTGTGATGTTAAAAAAAAGAGTTTGATTTTATAAAAAAAAAAACAATTGATGAAATATTAATTTTATATAATATTACATAAATTTTTAATCAAAGAAAAAATTCATTAATTAAAACATTAAATAATTAATTATTTTCCAACTAGATAATTAATTCAAAATAGTTTTTTTGTGCAATTATTTTCCTTATTCACTGAATATTTACTTGTATTATTTTGTAGTTTATATTGAAATAAATATACTCATGTGAATTAGTTGTTTCTTTTGATGTCATTACATCATCTTCATCCCCACTAACCTAATTTTTTCAATTTTGATTTTTGGATTTTATATACATCTCACCATTATATATATATATATATAT